ATGGGAGGGGGAAACAAAAGAGGAGGCTACAATGCTTGATAAGAAATGTACTCATTATCTTGCCCATGTAATTGTAACCCCTCTGTACAGTATTTTCACAATTAAAAAAAAATCTCATGGTTACCCCCAGTTTGTTTACTTATAGATTTATAGGCACATTCTAGATACCACGAATGAGGGAAAACATGCAACCTGTGTTTCTCTGGGGCTGGCTTAATATAATTTTTTCCAAGTCTTTCCATTTCTTTATGACTGGTACAATATCATTCTTCCTAATGGATGAGTAGAATTCCATTGAGTATGTATACCACATTTTCTTAATCCATTAGTCCATTGAGGGGCATCTGGGCTGATCCCACATGTTGGCCATGGTAAGTAATGCTGCAATAAACATAGTTGTGCTGGTGGCTTTAGCGTATCCTTGATAAGCATAGTTGTGCTGCTGGCTTTAGTGTATCCTTGTTTGTGCTCTATTGGATAAATGCCCAGGAGTGGAATTGCTGGATCACAGGGTAGTTCTGTTTAGTTTAGAACCTCCATACTGCTTTCCAGAGTCGTTGAACAAGTTTACATTCCCACCAACGACGTAGTAGCACCCTTTTGGCTACATCCATGCCAGTATATATTATTGTTAATTTTAATGATAGTGGCCATTCGAACTGGGGTGAGGTGGAATTTCAAATGTTTTGATTTGCATTTCCTTTATGGCTAGAGGTGTTAAACATTTCTTCATGTGTCTATTGGCCATATTTACTTCTGAGAAAACGTTCTGTAAGCCATGGAGTAGCCTATTTAGCAATTTTTTGTGTCTTTGAGGGTTTAGTTTTTGAGCTCTAAGTATATTTTGAATTTTTAGCTGAAGTATAATAAGACTGTATGGAGAGCTCAAATAGTATAATTCTTTAGAAAGACTAAGTCAAAGTCCAACGAAATAAGTATCAAGAAATGGGTACTTACAAGGGGGGAAGGGGCCCAAGGGGACCAGAAGAACGAACGGGGAAAGGATGCATTGGCAAGAATGCATGGCATATATAATGGAATTGAGAAAAAATAAGGGAAGGGTGGGTTGAAGGGAGGTGAAGATGTTGAATGGAGGACACAGACCAAGATGCATTATATACATATATATATATATACATATATATATATGTATATATATATATATAATAAAATATATAATTTGTTAACTGGCAAAAAATTCAGTAAATAACCAAAAAATTAAGAAAAGTGACAGAAGAGGTGGGTTGGGGGGTGAGGGTATTAAAAGGGGTAAAACTGATTAAGAGGCACTGTATTAATAAACTGCTCTGTTGTATGGCAATTCCTTTGTACAACTACTTCAAGAAAATAAAAATATTCAAAAAAATCTCTTAGAAATTAAAACATCACAGGCAAAGAAAATTCGGCAGCAGAGCTGGGAGATAATAGAAGCAAAAGAACCATAACTTAAGGAGATATTATGAAGATTTTTAAACCTAGAGGATGAATCTGGGAGACCCAACATTCAAAAAGGAATTCTAAAACAAGATAAACAAAGTAGAGGAATGAAAATTATTAAAGATAAAACATGGGGTTGCTGGATGTAGCTCAATAGTAGAGTATTTGTTTAGCATTCAAGTATTCCCCAGCACCACAAAAGAAAAAGAACAACACTGGAGGAGGTATCACAGTAGCAGACTCCAAATTATACTACAGAACCACAGCAACAAAAGTAACATGGTACAGGCACAAAAACAGACACAAAGACCAATGGAATAGAAGACCTGAAATAAGCCACAGTGCTACAGCCATCTAAGAGTGAATATGGACAAAATACCTATGTGTATGTATCAAAGTGGAACAATGAAACTTGTTGAATTTGAGGGGGAAAGGAAAAAGAAGAATGACAGAGAGGGAGAGTCTGATCAAGGTACACTGTATGCATACAAAGACATTTCAAAATGATCCTACTAGCCCAGCAATACTGGCTCACACCTATAATCCCAGCTACTAAGCAGGCTGAGGTGAGGATAGCAGTTCAAAGCCAGCCCAGGCAGGAAAGACTGTGAGATTCTTATCTACAATTAACCACCAAAAAATCCAGAAGTGGAGTGGTGGCTCAAGTGGTAGAACACTTGCCTTGAGCATAAAAGCTAAGGATAGTGCCCAAACCCTGAGTTCAAACCCCAGGACTGGTCAAAAAACAGAGAGACTCCATTTACAACTAGTTAATACCAATTAGTAAGATATGAGGAAAAAAAGGAAAAGAAAACAAACTAAGTCTGGCAAGTAGGTACAGGGGTGTAAATTAATATTAAGCACTACAGAATTCGGTATGGAGATTCCATAAGAATAAAAATACCTGGGTGTGATGGCTCAAATCTATAATTCTAGCTACTTGGGAGGAGGAGACTGAGGGACCATGTTTGAAGCTAGAGACTCCATCTCTACCAATGGCAGGGCACTGTGGTATATGACTATCATCCCCAACTACAGAGGAAGTATAGTGGCACACACTTCTTATCTCAGTAATATAGGGAAGCACAACCTGGAGTATTGCAGTGCAGGCAGGGCCAGAATAAAGCAAGACCCTATCTCAAAAACTAACCAACCCAAAAAGAGACGGAGCTATGGGTCAAGTAGTTGAACACTTACTTAGTAGTGTGAGGATCTGTGTTCAAATCCTAGTATGCCAAAAAAAAAAAAAAGAACAAGTCGCAAAATAGACTTAAATTATGTCCACTTAGGCCAGATAGTGAAAGCAACCCAAGTTCCCTACACCTAAAGACTGAATAAAGAAAATATTGTATACATTATTTACTCAGCCATTAAAAAAAAAATGGATAGAAAGTACCAAGCTCAAAAACCCAATACAACTAAGTGCTGGGCCTCGTGGACGTTCCTGCCTGGGCTGGCTTTGAACTGGGATCCTGAGATCTCGGCCTCCTGAGTAGCTAGGATTACAGGCATGAGCCACCAGCGCCCGGCTATTTGATCTTATAACTATGAAAAATGCTATTCTTTTAATAAAAACAGAAAGCTAAAGATTTAAAATTACAAAGACAACATAAACATGAAAGGACTGTAGAGTCACAAATACCTGAAAAGGAAACCTCCTCTACCAGCTGCTACCTGAACTTACTCTCCAGGGCTATTTAGAGAAAGCTCTAAGAGGGGGCTCCTTATAGCCTACTCTGGCTTCTTATATGCCCAAGGTACACCCTCTATATATCATGTGGCAACAGCAAGGTTCAAATGACAGACCAGCACCTCATTAAGTAAAACAAGAACAGGGATAATCCAAATTAATGATATAATAATGTATGGGTTAATATAAACAACAATTTGGAAATAATATATTAGAATAATAAATTAGAGATCTTATAAAGTAATACCTAAATTTCTAAATGTGATAATGCATAGTAAAAAAAAAAAAAAAAAAAGCTTAATTTGGGTCACCAGTTCCAGGACACCTGAAAAATAAAGATTTTTTTATATTAACTTGGAACTTAATTAGCAATAGCATCCAACTATGGCCTTCTCCAGACTGAAGATAACAAAATCCATCCAACATAACACAATTCTGAATTCAAATTCAGTTCATTTATACAACTCTCAAGGTCCCTTTAATAACAGAGAATGGTTAGGCTGAAGTAGCAGGGACCAGGCATATGAAAAATAAACACTGAATGTGGACCTACTAAATGTCTCACAGAATTGTTCTATTTGGTTTATCTTTTCCTTAAAATTCAGAAAAGATAAACCAAATAGAACAATTCAGAAAAGTCAGCACACTTGAAAATACACACGGCTTTTTAAAATACTGCTTTCTTTAAGTATTACCAGGTCATTTCATGCTATTCATTCATTCATCAAAGTCTACATATAAGGTAAGTGTCATGGTGTGTCTCTAATCCCAGTGACTTGGGAGTAGGAGGCAAGTGGATAGATTGTACCCATGAGTTCACATTTTAGTTAGTTACGTGTATAATACTTCTTAGCCTGGGCAACAGAGCAAGAACCTGCCCAAAAAAATTCAAAATTTACATAAAAGTCAAGATGTACTACCTCAAAAAAGAAATTTCACAAATGTATTTGGTTCCTAAAGGAAAAAGGGGAGCCAAATCACAAAGAATTCATTCTTAGGAATACAGGACACCTACAACAGCACCTGTTTCAAAAGAGGAAAATAATACAAACTCGAAATGACTGCACCTTATTTTTTAAATGTTTACAGAAAGCAATTCACAAATTCTTCTATTTGAGTAAAGCAACAGAGATATAGCTGATTATTTTCCAAGTTCAAATATTACTTATACTACTTCATTATAAATCTATAGTCTCAAAAAATATTAATCTCACAAAAGAAAAGAAACAAACTTAGCCACCTAAAAAACTTTTTATCAATAGCACCTTGTTCTTCATGGTTTTACCCTATGCAAGCTGCTAATATAAAAACATGCAAAAACCAACAAAAAACTCTATCCATGAACTACCTGAAAACCTTGTATATTACCAATTGTGTCATATAAAACATGAAATACAACATATGAACAGGAAAGATGCCACTTAACATGGAATATTCTGATGATCTATGCATTGTCTAAAATCACACTTTGAGAAACAGTTTATCTTAAAGAATTTCGACTATAAGATTTATTCACTAAATTACAAATATTTACTAGTTGGCCATTCCATTCTAAGCTCATAGGCAAAAAAAGCTAACTATGTGCTTCATGTGTTTTCAGCAGCAGGTCTAAATGTGGAAACAAAATGGAATCAATACAGAACACTAGTGGATAGTACACAGAAAATCAATAAATGTAAAAAATACAATGTATTGTATGGTGAGTTTGAATGCAAAAAACACATATTTATTAAGCATATGATTAACTTAAAAACACCAAGCCAATTTGTTTTAAAGTGCTGCTCATCCAAAACCTTGGACAAAACTATTACCCCAAAGTGAAGTTAAAAAACAAACAACAAACAAAAAGTAGATTACACTTGACAACATATATGTGGGCAGACACTACCAAAAATGCTATTTTTTCTTTAAATTAAATAATGCCATCTCAATGATACAGAACCATAATCATGACAGAATTCTTTTTGTATAAATATTCATAAATTAAAAAATTCTCTAATAGTCTAAAAAGCTGCAAACAATACAATAGCAGCTTAATGTCTATTTTAAGAAAAAAAAGCACTAAAACTCCTCTTCTATTGAAAGTCATTTATTTCTCTGGTGTTAGTGAGCAAGGTCACCACAGCTTTAGCCTCTTTTGTAGAACAATGTAAATAAGAACTTATACATTTCTTAAATTTGGTAGGTCACAAAAGTTAGAATGCAATTATCTTTTGATGCAACAAAAAAATAAATAAATAAAAATTAAATATTTTAACCCAACATTTGGTATTGAGAAATCAGTAGTGTCTACTTCACAAATGAAGGACAGCACAGCCTGATTTTTTTTTTAATTCTCATTATGTCATAGAATTTGGGCTAAAGGTATCTAGAATATTAAATGCTTCCTTTTTTGTTTAAAGGAATATAATACAATCAGCATTGAGCTGCTATGCATATTAAGCTAGGATGAGTGTGACCTTTTGGTCCATGGCACAGTTTCATGTATCATACTTTCATCAAACTGAAATCTTGTGAAATTTCATGTCTATAAACTACAATACATACTGACCAAACTGTCAGTCCCTCACAGTTTTTTTTTTTAGAAAAATATCTACATTTGTCCTTATGGATGTCAAAATGTTACACCATCATTTAAAAAAAAAAGATGCACATTCATACTGTGAAGTTATTAGGAAAATACTCTTGCAAATAAACTATATAAAGATAAAATACACTTCAAAAGTATGTGGGTCATTTTTCTTTTGTGTATTTTACAATATTCTATAAAGTGCAGAGAAATCCTAAGTATAGGGAAAAACTACTCCCGATAACAAGTTTAATTACAGCAGCTTTTGCATAGCAATACTTAGAGGAAGTTGAACACTTCATTTTCCTCAGGAAGAGAAGGATAGAAGAGGATCTTCCAATTCAGAATTTTTTTTGGCCATAAGTCTGCTTTCTTCAGGAATGGTTGCTGATGACAAGTCTCCATTGAGTGTATTTCTTGAACAGTGAACAGGTCCTATTAAGAAATGGATTAAAAGGTTCAACATCTTATCAATGTTAAGTCCAGTCCTCTGTGCAATCTTTTAAATTTCCTATTCAGAGACATGAGAAATTCTTTTAGACTCCTGTTAATTTTTCATTCTTTTAACACAGAAAAATCTGATTTTTCCACTACTGATAGTCTAAGAATAAACTTTAGAGTTCATGTGAGATGCAATATGAAATTACCTGAAGATTTTTCTTTTGTTCATTGTTAGAACCATGGTTGGCATACTATAGACCATTATAGACCAGTATTTGCTGAACTGAATTTAACCTGTCCTAACTATTGCTTTTTCTGCCTGTTTATCTGTATGCTGTATCATCTTTGTTTCTAGGCACAGAAATTCAGATTCCCCCCAAAAATATAAGTTTTAGCCAATATAATATAGTCAATAACAGAAGTAAGACTAAATAAGATTTGCAAGAGTTATGGTTCAAGTGGAATAGAGCCAGACATGAGCAAGAAAGATGAGAAAATGTATATGTATGTGTGTATAAACACATACATACAGACACACACAGATTTTAAGAATTTCTAAAAGCTGATAAGTTATTTTACACTAAATGCTACCATACACAAAATGCAATTGTCAAAGTTATTACAACAGCTCCCAGTACTTTATATACATACTGTTTGAGTTTACCAACACCATTACTATTTGAAAAGCTTTTTCACTCTTCTTAAAAAATAGAAGGAAAGAACCAAAGTTTCAGACCAGCTTGGGAACAAAAGTCTGTGAGATTCACATTAAGGGAAGCTGGACACGAAGGTCTACACATGTAATCGGAGCAACTATGGTAAGGCAAAAGTAGGCAATTGCAGCTTAGGCACACAGCAGGCAGGAAGCAAAATCCTATCTCAAAAATAACTAGTGACGTGCAGGATTAGTGAGGTGATCCATATGACAGAGTGGCAGCCTCACACATCCAAGTCCCCGAATTCAAATCCCAATACTGCCAAAAGGGGAAAACAAAACAAAACAACAACAACGTAAGTACAAGACCAAGCACAGTGGTTCACACCTGTCATTCTAGCTACATGAGAGGTGGATACAGGAAGACTGTAGTTCAATGCCAGCCCAGGAAAAAAGTTAGTGAGACTTCCTCCTCCATCTTAAAAAGCAAGCCAAGCATGATGAAACAAGCCAAGCATGATAGCATAGGCCTAGAATCCCACCTTCTCAGAGTTAGAAGCAGAAAGATCATGATCCACAACTGGCCTGGCCAAAAGCATAAAACATTAGCTGAAAAACAAAGTAAAATAAAAACTAAAACCATTTAAATGGTAGCGTGCGTAGCAGAAGTGCTAGTCTATCAAGAACAAGGAAAGAGATGCAAATGTACTTCACAGGAATCAATTGAGACAATTTTAAATACATATATAGTTCATCCATGAAGAATACTCTGTTTCACACTAATTGAACATGAATATAAAGAAATTTAATGGTGAAATTTCTAACACTGCCAACTTAAAACAGCTCTGGCAAATTGAAATGTTGTCTGTGACTGTTTAAAAAAAAAACAAAACAAGGCTGGGAAGATGGCTCAGTGGTAGAGCGCTTGCCTTGCATGCATGAGGCCCTGGGTTCAATTCCTCAGCACCACATAAGCAAAAAGAAAAAAAGCCGGAAGTGGCGCTGTGGCTCAAGTGGTAGAGCGCTAGCCTTGAGCTGAAGAGCTGAGGGACAGCACCCAAGCCCAGAGTTCAGGCCCCACAACAGGACCAAAAAATAAATAAATAAATAAATAAATAAATAAATAAATGAAAATTAGAAAAAAAAACAGCTAAATTACTGACTAGCAAACATAAAAAAAAACTGCTTCCAAGCCAGGTAGCTCACAGATGTAATCCTAGCTACTCAGGAGGCTGAGATCTGAGGACTGCAGTTTGAAACTATCCTGGGCAGGAAAGTCAGTGAGCCTCTTATCGCCAATAAACTCCTCAGTGCCAGAAGTGGCACTGTGGCTTAAGTGATAGAGAGCTAGTCTTGAACACACAGATGCTCAGAGACAGTGCCAGACACTGAGTTTAAACCCCAAGACCAGCAAAAAAAAAAAAGTTTCAAAAATTGAGGACCAAGATACCTAAAAAAGAAGAGAGCTAATAGCTAGCTTTTAAAAACAACAACAACAGGGGCTGGGAAGGTGGCTCAGTGGTAGAGTGCTTGCCTTGCATGTCTGAGGCCCTGGGTTTGATTCCTTAGCACCACATAAGCAAAAAGAAAAAAGCCGGAAGTGGCGCTGTGGCTCAAGTGGTAGAGCACTAGCCTTGAGCTGAAGAGCTGAGGGACAGAGCCCAGGCTGAGACTTCAGGCCCCATGACCGTACCCCCCACCCAAAAAAAATAAAAATAAAAAAATAAAAACAATAACAACAAAGCCAGGCCTGTAATCCCAGCTACTCAGGAGGCAGAAACCTAAGGACTGCAGTTCAAAGCCAGCCCAAGCAGGAAAGTCCGTGAGACTCTTGTCTCCAATTAACCACCAGAGAACTGGAAGTGGCACCAGTGGCTCAAGTGGAAAAGCACTCTGCCTTGAGCTGAAGGGCTCAGGGACAGCACCCAGGCCCAGAGTTCAAGCCCCATAATCGACAAAAACAAAAAATCACAAGTGATTCTCTTAAAAAAAAAAAATTATCGAATAGAGAAACACAGCAATATACAGAACTCTTTCTGGAACCTGTATTTAGAGGCATAAAACACAGGAGGATTCATAATTTGTGCCACCTGCTTCAAGTAATAGCTTTTACACATCCTCAACTTCAATGCTCTGTCTTTTCCAAGTATTGCTCAACTGACTAAGGACAATTTTTCCTTGCTACCTCCACCCCTTTTCCTTCTGGCACGTCTCTACTGATTGTCTACACTTACATTCAAAATGGCACTGAGTGCTGAGAATACAGCTCAGTGGTAGGGCATATATGACATCCTGGGACCAAGTTCAGGCACCAAAAGAGAAAAGAAAAAAAACTGGCCAAAATGGTAATGAGCAAAGAGTAATGGTCTGAAACAACAAATATGTTATTAGTTCTATTTTTTTAATGGGCATTAAAAAATATATATACCATCACTTTTAATTATCTGACAATGGCCAGCAGTCCACTTAGAATAATCTATGTGAATTCTACCTCCTCCAACTAAATCCATTCATCTTTTCAGCTACTAACACAAATCTTCATATTATCAACATATTCCCATTTCAGCCATACACTGACGCAGCTGAGCTCCCTAGGCTACCTAAAGAATCTAACAACCAATTATTATCTTTTTCCCAAAAAATAAAAAAATCTCTGCTCCAAACTACAAAAGATCACAACTTGTTCCTTAATTGAGAACTATACATAATTTCTATCCCACAGGTTTCATAGGAGACAGCAAAGACTACAAAATAAAAGTCTACTCATGTAGTTATAACTATAATAGTGTATTTGTGTTCACTGTCGATCTAGGTCTTCTGATACTTTCCAAGCATATTCTAAGCAGAGATAAATAGTAAATATTTTTAAACAAATCATATAACCTTTCCTAAAATCACAGTATGCTGCCTTTGTAATAGGGAGAAAACAGTGCAGGAATGAATGCTTACCACCACTATCAGACAAAATACTTTCCTTTTCCTTAAGTATTTTAAGGCATGAAAGTAATGTGACAAAGCTGATTTGTTGTTCTTTGGAGTTAGAGCTTGCCTTTACTAGAATTCTACCTGCAATTCCTGGTTCTTCTGCAATGTTTTCTTACATGCAAATGTACTGGTAATAAAAGATGATGATATTCAATAAATATATCTCTAAAATATATTTACAAAGTGATCCTCAGCACTTCCTAGTTAACAAGGCTGTTGGTCAGAGGATATATGAGCAGTTGTTGAGTATGTGTAGAATGTGTGTAGCGTTCTGCATGAACAGGGTTCCAATGTCAGTATCCTTCATTTCTACAAAGCATAGTCCTGTGAGCAGGCTAAAGGAAGAAACAGAACCTATATAACTTACTATCTGAGTCTTCAGGGGGAATGTCATTACAAGAGTCTGTATCTGAATAGGTTCTTCGACGTCGGGAGAGTCGATGAAGTGTAGACACTGGCTCTTTTATACAATAGCTACTCCTGAAAGTTAAATAAAAAGCATGAAATTGTAATGACTTAAATAATGACAACAACTGTGACTTAACTGGGGTATTTTTTAAATCACTTCTCTTTAAGTGAAAAAAGATTTTGTTGCCCAACCTCCTTATACAGAAGTCAAAGTACAACCCCCCACCCCTGCCCCATCTTGGAACTCAGCAATAACCTGGAGAACATGCGCAAAACAAGAGGAAAAGGTGTAAATTTAGAAATGCTTTCCTACTGCAGGTCCAGTAGAGGCAGCTGACAAAGCAGAAGGTCTACAAATAGCTGAAAATGTAAAAGTTACATGTATATCTAAACTCAATCCACATCTGATTAAAAACAGCAGAAACAAAGAGGTGGACAAGACATTTAAAAGTGGACTCACAGAGCAGATGATAAAGATGGCAAAGAGGAAGACAGGAGAACTTTTAACTTATCAGTCCAAGATCTAAATCAGAAGTAGATACTACCACCTAACAGCACATCAGCTTCTATTTTATGACAGCCCAACATTATTATATTTAATAACTATGATACATCAGGAAAAATATTGTTATTGCTCATTATACCTTATTTCATAAAATAAGATAAAGTATAGGTTAGAAACATTTCTATGATAAAAATAATTATTATAATTAAGATTTTATTTTTCAGAAAAGTTCAGTTAATCAAGCACTTCCTGACCAACTTGGATACACACAATTAAAGATTTTACAATTATCAGAAGAAAAAAATTAAGTTGGCAAGGTGGCTCAGTGGTAGAGCACTTGCCTTGCATGCATGAGGCCCTGGGTTCAATTCCTCAGCACCACATAAGCAGAAAAAAAAAAAGCCAGAAGTGGCGCTGTGGCTCAAGTAGTAGAGTACTAGCCTTGAGCTGAAGAGCTGGGGGACAGTGCCCAGGCCCAGAGTTCAGGCCCCACAACCGGACCCAAAAAAAAAAAAAAATTATGACAGAATAAAAAATGGTTCAGTATTTAACAGTCAGTGAAAAGCCAATGAAACTAAAATTTCACTACTTGCCAAAATAAAAACCACAGCAACTTACCTAACAAGATATTGACAAGATCTATCTAGAAGGTTAAAAACAATTTTTTTTTGTGTGCATGGGACTGTTTTTAAATCAGGGCTTTTAGCTCACCAGTCTGACTTTCTACCACTTAAGAAATACTCCCAGTTCTTCAGGTATATTCTGAATAGTGTCTTACATGTTTGCCCAGCAGCTTATTTATGCTTACTGCATATGTTTCCACACCTGGCTTGTTGTTTTTTTTTTTAAATCATTTTATTGTAAAGATGCTGTACAAAGGGATTAGTTACATGAGTAAGGTAATGAGTACATTTCGTGTCGAACACTGTTACCCCCTCCTTTGTTCCAGATGGGGGTTTCACTAACTTTTTGACCAAGGTAGCTCCTGATCTTTATCTCCCACATAGTTAGGATTACAGGAGTAAGCCACCAAGCCTGGCTATAAGGTAAACATTTTTAATGTACTGATATATACTTTAATATACATGCTTTCTCTCTTTTCAGTAAACTCTTTTGTCTCTCTGTAACATATACAATCTTAAAAAAAACTGAGATAAGGCCAGATGAGTCCCAACACTTATGTCATAAAAAGCTGAGATAAGGCCAGGTGAATCCCAACACCTACAATGTCAGCAATGTGAAAGGCAGAAAACTGGAAGATCATAGTTCAAAGCCAATCTGGACAAACAGTTGGTAGTGTGCTATGTACCTGTGATCCCAGCTATCTGGGAAGCTATAGAAAGGTTGGTCTAAGGCCAATTTGAGCAAATGTGCCAAACCCTCTAATAGAAAAATAACTAAAACAAAAAAGGATTGGCACTGTGGTTAAGTGGTACAGCACCAGCCTAACAAGTTTGAGGCCCTGAGTTTAAACACCAGTACCACGACTAAAGGAGTTTGGGGAGGTTAAGGGAAAGTGAGAGTCAGTTATAGAGCCTCAATTTCAAAACTATGAATTTCTTGGGGGGGCCCCCAGAAATGGAGGAAAAAAGGGTGAATAAAGTTAGCACTGACACTCAGTAGATACTATGTTGAAAATGAACTAAGTCATTACCTGACTTAGTAATCCCTCTGAACTTCGTGTGTGTGTGTGTGTGTGTGTGTGTGTATGAATTTGTGGTTAACTCATTTAATATACAGTAAGTGTAACAGATAGCAAGATGCTCACTTTTAGATTATAAATTTGTGTTTCCTTTCTTGACTCCTTTCCCAAACCAGGCCCTGACACTAAGCACTAATTGATATTTGTAGGGACCTTGTAAGTAGCAAGTCAAAACCAGACCTTAACCATTTCTCAGCACTTGTTAGGAAGCCCAAGGAATTTTTCTGACTGGGCATAAGTGTGTGAAAAAGAAAATAAAAGAGAAGGTTGTTTTACCTGTCTGAACTGCAAGAACCAGGATGGCTCACAGAACGTTTCATCTAGGAAAACAAAATTAAAACAGTATAATTCATATGTCAAGTAGAATAATGTACCTCTATTACTATTATAATAATTAACACAACTTTATTCGTAGGAAATGATGCCTGGCAAAAAGCTTACCTTTTATAGATTCAACATCATTACCCCAATATCACCTAACTTAACCATTAACTGGAAACTTCCTCAATATTTAACAAAAATATGCCACAGTGCTGGGAAGGTGGCTCAGTGGTAGAGTGCTTGACTCGCATGCATGAGGCCCTGGGTTCGATTCCTCAGCACCACATAAACAGAAAAAAGCTGAAAGTGGCGCTGTGGGTCAAATGGTAGAGCGCTAGCCTTGAGCTGAAGAGCTGAGGGACAATGCTCAGGCCCAGAGTTCAGCCCCCACGACTGGTTAAAAAAAAAAAAGCCACAATTTTCCCTCAATACTAAGAGCCAAATTTTATATATGCTTGAATATGTGAGTAAAAATATAAAACCAGAACATATATAACTAGTCATAAAGTTACTTGTGATAAAAAGGAGTACCTAGCAAATCACAAAATAATTGTCTCTTTTCTAATACGGCTGGTGAAGTCTGGTAGCAAGCTTCTCTTTACCATTTATTATTTAGGTAGCTGACATGAGATGTTCTGAAAAATGGTTTCATGTATTAGTAATTGAAGTCTTGATAGAACTCAGAAAAGGTCTAGCCTTAAATAGGTTAAAGATTCTATTTATAAAACAGAAATATATGATTAATCAGAGCATTTAAAAAATATAACAAACACTAAATGTAATTTAGAAGATCCAACTACCCCATCAAAAAATAAAGGGAGCCAGCTTATAATCCTAGTTACTACTCTGGGGCTAAGATTGGAAGGATCACAGTTCAAAATCTGCTCAAGCAAAAAAGTAGTTTTCAAGTACCATTCCCAAAAGAAATGTGGCATGTACCTGTCATTACATTACAGTTCAAATGAGATGCATAAATAGGAAGATTATAATCTAGGTTAGCCCATGGAAAAAGCTATTTCAGGAATAACCAAGCAACAGGGATAGAGGCATGACTCAAATGATGAAGGTATCCGAATAGCAAGTGCAAAGCCAAGTTCAAAGTCCAGTTCCAAGAGAGAAACAGAGAGAGACAAAGAGAGTGTATGTGTGTGCAAAACAGAGAATGAAAATGAACAAGCCACATAAAACCAGATTAGTCCCAAATTTAACAAGAAAACAGAAAAGCAAAGTTTATGCCAAAGATTTAGGATAGCTGCTTTTGCATACCTGAGCCCATGTCTAACATTTATGTAATATAAATGGCATTTGGAACATGAGTTGCTACTTACTGAGAAGTCCCAGTTGAAATGATAACAGATATGACCCACTCAACTTGCAATCTAGGTTATCTCTAATATTATAGACAGTAAGATGCAAGCAGACTTCCTCTTAATAGAAACTATTGCCTTTGGGATTACTCATCCATGATATCCTCACTACAATAACCAAACCTTCCTTGGGTCAGAATGACAACTATCTGTGCTTTCAAGATGATTTACAATCAAGTTAGATATAAGTTTATTCTAAGTCAGACTCCATAAGCTTAAAGTACATAACTGTTTATAAAGGCCAGATGAAACAGTTTTTGAATATTTAGCTTTTTCATATGAAAAGTGTTTTTCATATAAATAACTTGTCATTCTTTTGTTCTGTTTTTTTTGTTAGTCCGGGGCTTGAAGTCAGGGTTTAAATGTTCTTCACGGGTGTTTATGCTCAAGACTAGTGCTGTACCATTTGAATCACAGGTCCACTTCCAGCTTTTTTTGGCAGTTAACTGGAGATAAGAGTCTCATAGACTTTCCTGCCCAGGCTAGCTTCAAATCACAATCCTGGGTAGCTAGGATTACAGAGGCAAACCACCAGCATCCAGTAACTTGTTATCTTTTTGAAAAATAGTTTACCTTAGAAGATTGTCTGCCCTAAATCCTCACCCCAAAAAAAAAAAAACTACATAACCCACAATTCTTTTTATTTCAAACAAAACTAGTATGAGTGGAAAAAGAAGTGGCCTCTACCCTGATATTTCCTAGAAGAATTTGTGAGATTCCTATTAATTTTTTATTTATTTTAAAAGAGCTATTACAGTTTCTTGCACATAAATATGCACATGACTCTTCTCAAGGTGGGCAGATTGTTGGAAAATTACAGTGGCTTTGACTGAGCTTAGTGCATTTGACACTTACAAAGCATGTCTTTAAACCAACCAAACCTTCAATTATCAACTGTATTAACCTCAGAAACAGAGCACTAACATCCCTCTCAAGAATGGCTTCTGTTTTCAACTGTATATATGTTAACAGTTAAGAGTTTGTTATAGTAGATTCAGTTGTTCTAAAAAGCAATGTTGAATTGTGTTCTACTGTGAGAGTACACTCAAAAATAAGCAAAAAAAGGTTCAATTATCAAAGTTCAGAAACTTCTCCCTCTCAGATTCCTAACACACTTCAATATAAAGAGGGGCTCTAAGAAGTCCTAGGAGACTGTCCCTATGAAACTGGGATAGTCATTGGGTAAAAACAAAGCTTCCCAAACTAATCTGATCATAAGTGTCATTTTCATGGCATACGTGTCGCAAAGGGCACTATTAGTTTATCACTAGAAAATAATGTTAACAAACTTCATGGAACTAAATTTTTCAGGTTGTGTTGAGGTAAGAAATAAACTGGATCCTGTACTTCTAACAAGTTTTCAGGTAGCAGCTAAGAGTAGCCCTGTGATGCTCAACCTCCTACAAATAAAGTCCTAAAAATAATTTAATAATATATATATATATATATAGTTTTATACAATATTACCTCACCTACTGATTCCCCGCAGCATGCTAGAAAAGACAACAAATCCTCTACCCCCAACAAAGAGTTCTTGTTATTCAGAATGATCAATAAGAGTATTAAGCACCTATCATCAAGCAAGTCAGATCCACCAACCCCCTGACACAGAAAATATTGTTTTACAGAGGAAGAAACCAAAGCTCAGGGGATTAAGTGAGTTGCCTAGTCAGATGGCTCAAATTGAAATGCTGACCACAGAATACTGTTCCCCTAGAACATGTTTTAAACCCCTTTCAACTTGATTAAAGTTCTGGTTTATTGTACCTATGTGAATTAAAATGTTTACCAAATAGAAGCATGTGGCCAACTTTTCTGTTCAAACATTTATGATGCTTTACAATGCTTTCTGGGCACTGGGGTATAAATGGATGATGCAGCAGCAGCAGCAGCACTGAGCACAGCCCCTCTGAGGGGGGAAAGGGTCCCACACTGGCACACATATGACACTCTCCACTGAAAATTCTCTACACTTAGCCTGCTAATGGCGTCTGCCCACTGTTACTTTCACCCTCAAAAAGTAAAAACAAAGGAAAAATCCAGACAGGGTATCTCTAGAACAGCAAGAATTTCTAACCATTTGAACAGGAGAAGGTGACACAGGAGAAACCAAGGGATCCGGATGGGGCAGTTGAAACATCTCAGGTTTAAACTTGGCATTCGCTATCTTCACGCATTCCTCAAGGGTTGTGATGAATGTATTACACGTGGCACTAAGCAAGGAGGAGGCTTCATTCATGTTCTGAAAAATTACACATAAAAGCTTGTAGACTCATACAGAACCACATGGCATCATACAAATCCTCACAGTCAAATGATGAAACTTTATCTCCAGTGGGCTCATTACTAGGTTACCTTTAAACACCCTAACTAACAGTTTATTTAAATATACTGCTAAGAAAGCTAAACCAATGCATAAAGAGAAATAGCTGTTTCTTGGGAAAATGATGTATGAAACTAAATTCTGAGAAAAAATAAATGTCACATACTTAAACTATAAAGTATGTTGAGAAAAATGTGTCAAAAATATCTTTTTTAGAAGCCAGGTATGGTGGCATACACCTGAAATCCCAGCACTCAGAAGGCTGAGGCGGGAGGATCAATTCTAAGTTTGAGACCAGTCTAGACTACATTGTGAGACTCTTCCCCTCAAAAAAGTAGATAAAATGTAACCTAAATTGTTATTCTATTATTTTTTTCTCCTTCAGACTTCTTAAAGTGGAAAACTCTGTTACTCTGTTACTCATTACCAGAACAATTCCTGTCTATTCTACATCTATTTTCTGACATGCTCCTTAGTAGAATTTTTTTTTTTAAATCTCCATTTTGTGCACAACAGTAAAGTGTCTTGACCCTCGGGATGTAGATAGGTGTCTTGACCCTCAGGATATAGATGTATCTAAGCCAGTCACCGCTGTTCTACAACCCAGTTTATCAATTATTGTCAATTTATCTTTTCTTAGTTTCCTTTGAACTAGACAAAACTGCAGTTTCTAGGATTTTTGTTCCCTGATTTTAAAAGCAAGGAAAAGTTAAGGATGTCTCCTTCTATCCTTCCACTTTGGCCACCCTCTTTCCTCTCCGTACCCTTAACAATTCTCTTGAAGGTTGACACATAAGAATTTTTTTTTTAATTCAATATACCAAGATTGGCAGAAAAGGCCTGGGTCCCTGATACTGTCACAGACTGAGCTGCTGCTGGAGCAGTATGAAAGCACCTATCTCCAGGGAACTAGAATCAGTTCAACAGGCTCCAAATGAGGCCTTTCTTACATAGCACTACTCTCCAACAGGAAAAAGCACAGGAGATGGAGAAGGATTTCTGCTTAATTAAGCAAGAGGATTGGGAACCATGATGGCCTTTATCTTAGAAAGTAAACCCTCATTCACTGGTCCTCCTCTACCAGAAACCTGAGACCAGTTCATAGCATGTGAATCTGAAGTTTTAATTCTATGTTATTGTTCTGAGAACTATTACTTTTTATGTGTTTATACTCAGCAAGAACTTAGGGCCTAAGCACTGTCCCTTAGCTTTTTGCTCAAGGCTAACACTCTACCACTTAAACCACAGCTCCACTTTCTGCTTTATTTTTTTAATTGTATTTATTTACTTACCTATTTATTTTTTGTGGTTAACTAGAAATAAGAGTCTCACAAACTTTCCTTCACAGGCTGGCTTTGAACCGCAATCCTCAGATTTAAGCCTTCTGAGTTGCTAGGATTATAGGTGTGGAACCACTGGGCACCTGGCTCAACCTCTTAATTTTAAGCTACTTCTTTATAAAGATAAGTCAGCATATCTCAGTAACTGAAGATGAGACCTTATTACCAAATGAAAAAGAGCAATTTGTTCAATGAACTCATGCAATAAGCCTTGAGAAAAAAACAAAAGTATTCCTTTCCCACCTTAACCTCTAAATTTTTCATACTGGCTAAAAAACAGGCCTTGTTTCACTGAAGAAATGTGCTGTTTCCATGCTTCTCTGGCACAGAGACAGACAAGATAACAATACATTTCCAGACAGTCTACAGCAGGAAGAGCCCCAAAGAGTTGGAAATAATTGGTGAAACTGCTTCTCTGTCATCAGACAGGATGACTGAGGATGCTCCAGTGCAGTACAAGTACAACCAGACACAAAGGAATGCTCTTTGGTACCTCTATACTGGGAGGTGAATGATTCTCATCATGGTGGACAAACTCCTGGATTGTATGCACCTGTTGCATCAGGAGGTCACAGTAGAGGCGAAGTTCAGACATTTTGGTTTTCAGAGATTCACTGGTTTCACTTATTTCTGAAAAGATTATTGGACTATTTTATATTCTTTGGGCAATCTAATAAACTAATTATTTTAAACATAAGGCAATAAACAGAAATATTTATAAGCTTAGGAAATCTGAAACTTTGGACAAGAATCACAAAATCGTTAAGAAAATATCTTTTTGTTGTTTTTTGTTGTTTTAGAGGGATAAGTTCTTTATTTCAAAAAGACAATTGTCAATATTCAGTATCAAAACAGTTGCACTATTGCTTTCTCTCTCCCAACTGGCTCCCAAGAGACCACAACAAACGAGAACACATTTTAAGCCAGTAAACTACAGAATACACACCTAGTATACCTCACAAAAAAACCACCAAGGGAAAAGTGGGTGTGATTACAAAAAAAAAAAAACCTGGAAAGATCAACACATTGCCAGGTTTAGACCGCACTCGGCTCACCTTCTAATCCTCTTGTTAGCTGTACTTTACCCATGATGTTCTCTCATATATTGAAAAATTGTTGTAAGTTACATCTGTGGCCTCTATTTCAAATATCCATAATTTAGTTCCCTCCACTAAATAAACTATACTTAATTTTTTTCTTGATCAGCTATGGGACTTTAACTCAGGGCCTAGGCACTGTCTGAGCTCTTTTGTTCAAGGCTAGTGCTCTTCTTTGAGCCATAGCTCCACTTCAAGTTGGGTGGTTAATTAAGAGATAAAGAGTCTTCATGGACTTTCCTGCCCAGACTTGTTTTGAACTGTGACATGAGATCTCAGCTTTCTGAGTAGCTGTGAACCACAGCACCAAGCTTAACATTAATTTTTTACTATAAAAGATATACTCAAGGGCTGGAAATGTGGCTTAGTGGCAGAGTGCTTGCTTAGCATGTATGAAGCCCTGGGTTCTATTCCTCAGTACCCCATAAACAGAAAAACACAGAAGTGACAATGTAGCTCAAGTGGTAGAGTGCTAGCCTTGAGCAAAAGCAGCCCAGGGACAGTGTCTAGGCTCTGGACCAGGAATGGCAAAAAAAAAGGAGGAGGAGGAGAAGGAGGAGGAGGAGAAGAAGAAGAAATACTCAAGCCACACGTCAACACTTATTTTGTAATCCTAACTACTCAGGAGGCTGACTGAGATCAGAGGATTGCACTTGAAACCAGCCTCAATAGGAAAGTCCATGAGACTCTATTTCCAATTAACCACCTAAAAAATCAGAAATGGAGCTGTGGCACAAAGTAGTAGAACATTAGCCTTGAACAAAAAAACTCAGAAACAGTGCTCAGGCCATGTTCAGGTTCCACAATTGACCCAAAAAAAAGGTACACTGAATGACAACTTTAGAAAATAGAGGGGGGGAAAAACAGAAAACAGAAAAGAAAAAAAAACTTGCAATCTCACTTTCAGGATGAAGTCTGCTTTCATATTTCTATATAAGAGGGTGAGGATTTCCCAACCCTAAAGAAGCAAAATAATATACATTATTTTAAGCTTTATACAGAGCTATTCAAAATTTCTCCAGCACTGATAGAAAGCACAGGAGGTGGCACATTCCGGACCAGGCTTCAAACCCAGAAAAGAGTGAAGTTTCACATAGCTAAATCAGTGGCAAAAAAAAAAAAAAAAAAGAAGAGCAATTAAGTATCAATTCAACACTAGGGGGCGCATGATCTATTCCATGAGCAACAGCTTCTCTTTAGATAATGGAAGAACTTAACAGTCAGATGTCTGGCACACAGTTTAATTTCCAGGCAAGGTAATTATCACTGGATGTTTTTATATAACATCTTTCCACTCCATTATTCGCCCTCTTCCACTAGAAAACTGTATTTCTTCTTTTGTGAACTGGGCTTGACATACAAAAGTTTTTATCTTTGAGGCCATTAAAGCTATTGTATATAAATATTTATTTTCCTCTAGTCTTTTCTTTCACAGCTTCGTTAGCACATTATGCCATCTTCATAGCTTTTAATATATAACTGACATTCTTCTTGTTAATAATTCCAGTCAAACTAAATATCCAGCCATCTCAGACACTCACAAGCAAATATTAAATAGTAATTACGAATACTGGCTAAATTTGGTGTCTCTCCTGTCCCTCAGCTGGCCAGAAGCACTGCTTTCTAGTGTAGCTGCAAAGCCACTTTGCTAGAGTGCACCAAAACAGCTCTATCTGCACATCTGACCTAATTGAAACCAATTCACACACACACACACACACACAAAATGAATATAAGTATGTATATATATACACACACTCATATTTACATATACATTATACATAATATACATGACAAATTTACTGTTTGCAAGAACACAGTTTACAGAAATTAAGTACATGAAAATGCTGTATAATAATTGCCATCATCTACCTCCAGAACTTGTTCATCTTTCCCAACAGAATCCTTATATTCTTTAACACTAATCCTATTCTCTCCACCCTACAGAACCTGGTACGTACCATCACTCTAGGTTCTGGATAAATCTGACTATTCTTTGTATTGCATTTAAGTGAACTCATGCAGCAGTAGCTGTCCTTTGGTAACAGGTTTATTTCACTTAGCACCAGGTCTTTAAGGTCATCCACGTTGTAGAATGTATCAAAGTTTCTAAATGAGTATCTTATTGTACATGTTTTGTATGCTTTGCTAATCCATTCATCTATATAGACAACTGGAAATGCTGTTTCTGCCTTTCAGCTATTATGAATATACATTCCTTCTAATCCTACCCTTAGCCATATTTTATCCATGATACTCTTTCATATATTGGGAGTATTGCTCCATGTTACATCCTCCATTTCTAATATCCGTAATTTAGTTGCCTTCACCAACTCAATAATATTGATTTTTGAATGTAAAAGTTATACTCAATTACAATTTTAGAAAATAGAATAAAATACAGAAAAGAAAAACCCTGTGATGGTAATTCCAGGATAAAGCCATTGTTTTCATATAATATCCTCACATATTTGAATAATACCATAAACCATTTGCTATGCTTATGATTTTTCTCTAATATTTTTCAAATGATAACATGTTCATGATAAAGTTAAAATATACTAAAGGTATATAGTGAAAAGTGAGTTGCCTCATAAAATCCTCTTCTAAAGACAACCAATTATTACATTATTGCCTGTGCTGGCCAATGAATGCTAATACTATATGCAATTTTGAGTCTTGCTTTTTTCAGTGATCACTTAACATTGGAAATTTTCTTACATCATTAAGCATCCTTGTTAACATTTTACTGATCACATAATAGATCAGCCTATAGAAGCAATAGCTTACTTAGTGAACCCTTGCCCCTAATTTGTCCCTTTACGTAATTACAAAATTCTGTTCTGATGATCTATATATGTAAATCTTCCTACATTATCTATAAATTATTCTCAACATGAGCAGAGTACTTTGTTTTTTAAGTTTAATAGATTTACCACAAGGTAAAAAAGAAACTAGTTACCTTTTTCTTTTTTAGCCCTGGTATCGGTCAAACATGCTTTGGAGCTCCCCAGAGCAACCAGCCACCTCTGTCTTTCGGCTGCATTTACTGCCTTCATGTAGAAATGTTGCTCTCCTGGAATGATTAACTCCATTCTTGTGTTGTCTGCAGAATGGACTAGATGGTAAAGGAAAAATGCAATTAGACTTAAGTGATATGGAAACAACCAGTGACCACTCTACACAATAGCAGCTGTTTCACAAAAATCCGGCAACAAATTCATGACCAGGCAAAGGCACCACACAGGGCACTCTCCAACCTGCCATTCTTACAAACCGAAACTGACCTAAATGAAGTCTATGGAAGATAAAACAGACAATTAGCTACTGGGCCACATGAGTACTGCCTTGAGACACATGTACAATGAGTGCAACACGTATCACTGGAAGGCTACATTTCATTAACTGCTAAGCACAAGGCAGTGCATGGCATACTGCGGGAGTGCAGTAAGTGATCATTATGGCCACCTTCCACTAGAATTCTCTGACATAAGCATAATTAACCTGGAGTGTGACCTTTGAAGACCTTAAGCTCTCCCTTCCATAAACACAAACTTGCTGCTATTTTTGAGAGAAAAGAATTACAGAGAATTATGACAGGCCTGGCACAGTGATTCACACCAGTAACCCCAGCTACGCAGGAAGGAGAAATCAGGAAGATCACAATTTGATGCCAGCCCAGACAAGACATTAGTGAGATCCTATCTCAACAAATCTGTCAGATGTGATAGTTACACCTGTAATCTCTACTACACAGGAAGGATAAATACATAGATAGTCAGGGCTAGAACTGGACAAAAAAATAAACCTTTTCCAAATAAAACTAAAGCAAATAAGAGCTAAGGATATGGTTTAAGTGGCAGAGTACTTGCTAAACAAGCATGAGTCTCTGTGTTCAAACCATGGTATTGCCAAAAACATGTATGTATATGTATCTATACATATTATGCCAACTCCATGTAAGACCCTGTCTCAAAAGTAACTATAGTAATTAGGGACGGAGGCATGACTTAAGTCTACCTAGCAAGGACAAAAAGGCCCTAATTCAAACCTCAGTACCACAAAAGAAAAAGGAAAAAAAAGTAAATAAATTCACAAACTGGACTTCTTTAAAATTAAGTACTTGTGTTAGTCAACATGCCATGATGTGGGAGAGTGATGGAAGAGGGGACACTGATAAACATGTACTATACTCAAAATTCTGACTTTCAGACTAAAACTCCTTCGTACAACTACCTGAAATTTAAAGAAAAAAAAGATACCACAACAGTATAAAACCCAAACTAGAGTAGGAGAAGGTATCTGCCATACAAAGACTTATCCGTACTACACAAAGAACTTCTACAAATCAATGGGAACAAGCCAAGTTTAGAAAATGGGATAGACTTGAAAAGGGAATTTAAAAGAAGAAAACACTAAAATGGGACATTAATATTTAAAAAACATAGTCACTATCTTTCAATATTGAGTTAAAATTACAAGTGACCACTACATGAACTAGAAAAAAATTAAAACTTTAAAAACTGTTATGAAGTTTTGGCAAGGACATAGAACAACTGATACTCTCTTATTCAGCTAGCTGAATAAGGTAATAAAAAGAACTTGGCAAAACTTTGGCATCATCTGTAAAAAAGAATCTCCCCTTGGCCAAATTCTAGCCAGGTTCCTTTGGATCCTTTGTTGGACTGAACTCTCATCTTCATCCTTGTAACATCTATTTTCAAGAACTCTAAGTTAATAATTCAGACCACACACACACACACACACACACACACACACACACACACCACACCCCCTTCTCTCCTGTATTCCATCCCCGTAGACCCCAACACACACACACACACACACACACACACACCCTTCTCTCCTGTATTCCATCCCCCTACTTTACACACACACACACACACACACACACACTTCTCTCCTGTATTCCATCCCCCTAGACCCCAACACACACACACACACACACACACACACACACACACACAC